CTTGGATATTATCCATCGTCTAGTAAATATAAAACATAAAACGATGTTTCGGAGATGGGACTTTATCTCCGTCTTCAGGTTCCTACACTGTTGGGCCCACTAGATAGAGCTAATCCCTATCTCCGGAGATAGGGATTAGCTCCGAAACGTCGTTTTACGTTTTATATTTACTAGACAATGGATAATATCCAAGGAAATTTTTATTCGTGTGACATATCTATTCAGCACCGAGTAACGTCAGAAGTTTGCGTTATATTATTAAATGCCTGTTTTCTATGTTTCTGGTTAACATTTGCATCTCACACTTGCATTTACCCAGACTTGGTGATGATCGGTGTGATTGTGGCATCGCACCGTTTTCGCATGAACCCTGATAACTTGGCGACTCCTCTCGCTGCCAGCATCGGTGATGTAGTTTCTATCAATCTGCTTGCTTACATTGCCGCAGCTTTCTTCACTGTTCACGGTGAGTCGAATATTAGCTTTGCTTCATTCTGGTGTAATCTCGAGCCATTCTTGTGGTTCTTCATTTTGTTTGTTGTAAATGAATAGAAATTAGCATACAGAAAACATGGCAACCATGCTCTGAGTAAGAGCTGTGCCAGTTGCATTAGTTATTATAGTGTCAAATTACGAAGGACACGTTGAAAAATTGGTTGAAAATTTGTAAGGACACTCTAAAGTCTTATCCCAGACTCTGGGTTGCGGAAGGATCGAGAGAAATCTCAAAGTCCGTCTCCTAGACAAGAGTCTTGAAAAGTGCATGAGTCTGTTTTGCTTTACGCTGTGCAAGTTAGTGAGTAACTAAATTGTCTTGCAGATACTTCGTACTGGATCTTGCTAATAGTAATCGTGGTCTACCTTCTATTTTTGCCATTTTGGATTTACGTGGTTCTGCACAATGAGTACACGCGACCAGTTCTAACATCAGGGTGGGTTCCTGTCCTGTCTGCATTGTTCATAAGTGGGTAAGTTGCTTTGGTGTCTATTTTATTTATTTAGTGTTCTGTCTGAGGACAGGTCCATATGAACAGGATCCTTCCATCCTTTTCTCGGACTGGGACCTGTTCATATACGTTCTTGGCAGATGATCCAGAAGTGGTTTGCCATTGCCTTCTTCTGTGTGTGAATGGAGTAATTGTTGGGATGCCACGGAGGAAAACTCCGTGTTGCCTAGACCACGGCCTTGCCCAACACAAGTTATAAATTCGGGCACCGCCGGGAATCGAACCCGAGACCCCAGGATTACAAGGCCAGCGTTCTAACCGCTAGACCACCGTGGCAGTCTTTGGTGTCTACTACTCAGAATTGATCTGTTTTTATACAAATGTTACAGCACGTGGCTGGAATTTCAGTGTTATGACTTGTACACAAATAACTATGAATTTGTTACTATAATCAGATTTTGTGTTATAAACTGAAACAAATCTTATGTTTGAGTGTTACTTCACTGACATCCCTGGTTTCATGTGTTTATTTAGAAAAGAGTATAACGGGCAGATTCGAAGTCACATAAAATCAAAAAGGTTTTGTTTCTTTCATCGCTCTCCAGATATCAAAGTGATTTCTAAAACATTGCTTAAGCTTAGGCAATCTGTATCAGTTAACAGTGACCTATTCCATTCCCTTCCCTTCTTTTCTTTAGGGAAAAATAAATGTAACTCCGCCAGGGATGTTTTAGCTGTAAGTTACTGTGATTTATGGTCAGCTGGACCATGCGTAAGTCCTGATGCACGTATGATAAAGTTAAACTCCTTCAACAAGAGTGTATTTATTTCCAGTGCACTCAATAAATGTTGTTGACAGTAATGTCAGTGCTTACTGACTTTGTTTTGTTGCAGACTGGGTGGTCTGGTGCTAGACTCTGTAGTTGACTTGTACAGTTCATTTGTCGTGTTCCAACCAATTATCAACGGGATCGGAGGGAACTTGGTGTCCGTCCAGGCCAGTCGCATCTCCACCATGTTACACCAGTCCTCTTTACGAGGCATCATTCCACCCCACTCCAGGCTGTGCGCTACGCCGTGGGCAGCTCTGTTTAAAGGATGTAAGTGCACTGCGAGCGAGGCCCAAAGATTATACTCACAGAGGAATCTCAGGCTTCTGGGTGGCTGTAGGTCCCCTCATCAGATCATAAACTGGTGGTAGTAACCATCGCAGAAATTTCGTGAAATGATACGAGGCCAGACGCAGTATTAGAGTTCATGTTCTCTGTTGCAGTGCCACATGCAGGAACTGCAAGAATTCTGATCACTATGAACCTTGTCGGACAACTTGTATTCCTCTTTGTTGCTGACTATATCCACTGGGGACGGTCGACTGTGACTGCTGCATTCGCCTTATCTTATCTAACAGTCAGTTTGTTGCAGGTGAGTGCATAATTAATAATTACACTTTTAAACTGTGATTTGGCTTCCCCTATTTTGTTTGGTTTATTTAATTGATTTTAATGGTGAGTTAATAAGTGGAGTGTCGAATTTTCTACTACCTATGGTGTTGAGAAATTTGCAGCTGTATTTTTTTCACAAAATACAGGAAAGCAAAACATGAAATCTGTTTTACGTAAATATTTTATATGCACCTTTGTGATGCTGTTGGCATTTCTGTAAGTTTCCAGCAATTGTCTGAAAGTGTATTTACATTCTATATGCCCTGATACTGTCTTCATGGCATCACTTTCCCCTTATTTGTGATTGGCCTCCCCAAGAATGCAATGTTTAAGTACGTGTGCAAGACATGTTACTTCCCACTTCTTTGCATACCTCTTGAAACTCAACTGTTCAGGATACTTGAATGACTGATGGTTGTTTTGAATATTTTCTATCACATTTTATTTTACCCTGTGGACAGTCAGCAGTGAAGAGGAACACTGCTTATCAAGCAAGGTTCATAATGATCTTGCTGTCGTTTCTGAATTATTTAGAAGAAATGTATTTAAAGGATCTCCTTGATTTAAGTACCAAAAATTGACCCCTTCTATTATTTGCTTCAGTGATGCAAGGGAGTTTTCTTTCATGTACTGAAAATCATTTCTGTGCCCTTAAAAAATGTTTTTCATCAAGTCAAATTTCAGGTGAGACAGTAAGTAGAGTTTTGTATTTTTGAATTAACAAGAGGTTGACCAGTAACTTTTTTGTATTCGAACTTAAGCCTGCCTGTGGTGTGTATATGACAATATCATATGACGGTGTTTTTCCCGGCAAAGGAAACAGCAGTACTTTGTGCACCCACATTGCATTCCCAGTGGCATTGTAGTCTCATAGCTGCCAGTTGTAATCTGCGCTCATAATTTCAGGTACGAGGAATTGCATATTTTTACTTGATTCTTCATTGTGCATTGCAGGCCCAACAGGAACTTGTTGGTAAATATTATCTTTATGTAAAAAAGAAGAACCATCGGACTTGGCTGTGGCAAGTCCGTGAAAAGTCACCACTTGTCTGGATTGTAGTCATTATCAGATGGTGGACATCATTACGAAAGACAGCGTCTCCAAACACAGAAAAATACTGTGTTAAGTCCTCTTTACTGTTAAATAAAATTGTGTCACACAAATCTGATGTATATCTGCCCATGTTAATACAGGACAAAGCTCTCCCCTCCCATATTTAAAATATTTTTTGATCCTGACTTCAGAGTAACAGTTTGACATATACAAATTTACAAAAACATGTTTACTGTTTCTTGAATAGTCTCCAAGTGAGATCATTATGTAAATTTCCCACTTCAATGATGATCTATAAATAGACACAAAAATGATGATTGACATCCTTATTATTTGTCAGAGGTCAGACATGTCAGTTGAGTGTCTGTGTTCATGTGATGTGTGTCTGTTCGTAGGTGATGATTCTCCTGTACATTGCCCATCTCCTCATTCACCTGATGTGGAAATGGCGGGTGGACCCAGACAACTCGGCCATCCCGTTTCTCACGTCCCTCGGCGACGTGCTGGGGTCCAGTCTGCTAGCATTAGCATTCATTATCCTTGACACTCTTCACCTTCCATACAGTGGTTAGACATCAGGAACTACCTGAAGTGAAGACAAAATCCAATTGCTGATATTTTACAGCCTGCGGTCTCCATCCGGCAAGGTAGGATGAGGCAGAGTGTGGTTTAAGATATCGCTTTTCCATGTTTAAGATATGAAAGGTATGCCAACGATTTTGAGAAGAAAGTGTACTTGGATGACGGTATTCTCTCTGTGGTAAGGGGCAAGTCCCTTATTTTAATATTGACAACATTAATGAATGTTTTTATAATTGCCACCAATTGTTTAATAACTATTGTTATTACTCTTGCCATTGGAGGTCTGATTTCTGTTGCCATATTGTCTGTATCATGAGTTTTAATATTTCTTACTTATAACTTTATCATCATCTCGTCTTCCCTAAGTACACAGTTTTCACCCATTACTCTGTCCTCTCTCCTCTAGCACCTGCAAGTGGAGTACGATCCTTCATAACGTTAAGTAATGGCATTGGTTCAGTGCACAGTAAACAAGTTACGCTCAGCTCAGTGATAATATGGCATAAACCTTGTCGAATAAAGACAAGTGTCTGCATCGTTCTTTTTATAGCTGGAGAAAAGTTTTGAGTACTACAGAAACATGAGCACTCCCTTGTGCTGGAGTTATTGAAGCAGATCGTGTTGAAATGGTTTTCATCACGATTATCAGCCTTTCAGGTCAAGCTCTAGATAATTTTTAGGATTCAAGTGGCCTGTGCACTCTGTAAATAACAGCCAGGATAATGTTTAGCTTTTATTGCCGCTGGTGGCGTATAATTAAAAAATAAAAACATCGATAATAAACAAACGTTTATTTGAATACTGTTATGTGCTGTCACTGGCTGAATTAACACTTGTTCTGTTTATAGGTGGATGAATGCTTCCAGGCACAAGCATTTTTAAATTTATGAACGTCATTTGTAGTATTGTTCTGCTCCTTCCCACTCAGAATTTTGAAACCAGTTTTGTCTCCACCTTGTACTCTTTCAGGCAGACTATGACAAAACATGAAAGACTTCATTATATTTTGCTTGTACTCTGCTTAATACACAAAATTTGGGTGTTACGGCGGTGCTTAACACCCTGCAAAATACGTAAAACATTTTTGTTGAACAATTTTGCAGTATATTTCTTCTTAGTATTGCTCTTAAGTTTTTCAGTACAATAAATGTTTGTATTTTAAGACTGCATATAACAGTGCTTGCATTATTTAATTTTGCAGAAGCTGTTTCATACATTTGCCACTTTTATAAACAGAGAACAAGGCAGACAGTATCACCCCCAAGGGCTCCAGCTTGCAACAGTGTGATTTTCTGAAAACTTGGATTCTAAACTTCCTTGTTATGAAAATTGAATTTATTGATTGAAAAAAAGGAAAACTGAAAGAGATTTTTCTGTCTGATAGTAAAAATGATGTCAGAAAAGTTAAAAATAAGTATAAAATGTACAATGGTGTTGAATATTAACTTTAATTTGTGTGCATGATTTGTAAAAAGAGTTGAATTTTATCTTCACCAGATAAGGTGCCTACAATAAAGTAACGACTGCATCCAGATGTGTTTAACACATGTTTCTCTGTGTCTTAAGTATAGCTTCTGCACCAGGCACCAGTATCTTCTCTGTATTTTACCCCAGTGGTGCAAATTTCTACTGTGATTCATTGAATTTTATTGTGTTAAACTTTGTATTGAGCGTGTTATTCATATACATTCAGCATGCCATTAAAATGGTACAGAGAAGAAAATCATACGTCTGTCAGCCAAGTGAGTGATATTTTACGCATGCCAGGTGTTTATGCCATATAGCGAAGTGAAAATAAATACATACAACCAAATTTATAGCACTTTAGATTATTAGAACACATCTCAGCTGTAGAATAAATTAATCCTGGTTGATTTCCTTCCCGATTAGGTAATCGGAATCAGAGGAGGAAAATCACCGACCCAATGAAACCAGTGTTGAATTCATTCCTTCCCAACCTTGTGGTTCCTTCCTGCCTCGCGTGGAAAATGTGCATTGTTGCCAGTACCGACATGAGGAAACACAGTAAGGTATGCTTTGAAGATAAGAATATAAGATTTATGGAAATGAGATTTGGTAACATGTAGCCTTGCTTAAGAGGACATCTTGGCTACTGCAGTAATCCCATTGTAACATTCTCTCTCATTGATGTTGAGGCACAGTAAAGGGGCAAATTTTGCTTCTTGATGCTGATTCATTGACCTTTCTGAAGTCTTAAAAATCATCTCTGTGCATTGTAAACCGGGACACAGGGTTAAGATGGCCTTTGCAATGGGTGACATATTTAAAAAAAATTTGCTTGAATATTTGAATTAATTCTAAACATTTATAATAGTTTCTGACTGTAGTATTAAAATGAGTAAGTAGTTTGTTCATAATAACAATAATAATACTTTTTAATTACTGCTAGTTTGCTGTTGAAGCGAGTGGGACAGTTAGTAAGATATAAAGCAGAGGGATTCGTTAGCTGCATAGAAACATTATACACTAGAACCAATTTGTAGATGACTCTTAGCTTAAAACATTTTGCTATTCAAAATATACAGCATTGTAATGGGTTTAAAGAATAACATTACGGGGAACGGCGTAGATGAATGGTTATTTCTCCGGGCTTTCGTGGTTTTGCTCAGTTGTTCCTGTCAAATTCTGGGGTAGTAGGATGCCATGAAATTTGGCCAGGATTGCTTTCACGTCCTTCGTAACTTGTTATTGCGTCTGTCCCAATCATTTCCCATCAACCTTTGAGCTAGAGAAATTGTCACCGTGATTTCTCGTCAATGATTGGATAATTCTAATGGAACTCCCTTCGTGACAAACGTAAGAAATGTTTGTCAGTGGTTGGTCTGTGGGGTGGAGGTTACAGTATTCCACAGATTGCACAGCACTGCTGCAACCCAGAAGATGGCCATCAACTGTACGATTGTCTAAAAGTGTCTAACTGGACACTTATGACACGTGAGGTCTATCTGTGGTTTTATTCTGTTCAGTTTGACGTTGGTACACGTTCTTAATGTGGTAATAAATCCACTAGGCTGTAGTAGCTCTGGACTGAAGAGCCTTGCACTGGTGGTGCTAATATCATTGGGGGCCTTGAGGACTGGATTTGCTTAGATCTTTCTTTTGCCTGGATCATTTTCCTTAATATTCTGAATAGGCCATGCAGTTCTTGGATTTTGAGCTGGAGTTCTATGTTTCTGTTTCATTTTGGACTTTGTTACCAAGGCCTCCGTTACTGGATCTGAATTTTATAGGAATTGGGTGCCCTGCTTTAAGCTAGAGCTTGGGCTGTGTAGTCCTCTGTCCTGCTTGCCACAGTATATTAATTTGTACGCTTTGCACTGGCGTAGATAGAACGCGCATTGGATCGTTTCTCCGAGTTCGCCGTGTAGGACTGGGAATCTGTGCGGCAGGAATGTAGGCTTTAGGTATTCTTAACAAAACTCCTTGAGTTAATAACTTGCTTTGCAGTCGTATTTTACACATTTGTACAAAAGTGCGACTTCATTTTGGAATACAGGCTGTGCGTAAGCTGTAAAATCAGTCTTATTACACTATTAAAAACACTATTAAATTGTACATCTGATGCTTTGTTGCACAAAATGAGAACACAATTCCAGTTCAGTCAAAATTCTCTGAATATAAATAAGAAATTAAATTTGAGGTTCTCATACTGGCGAAGATATTAGTCTTTGTTTTCCAGGCAGTAATACCACGTGCATCTGTACGCAGATCGACCTTTTTGAGGAACATACTGTCTCCATCTTTAAGGGTTGAAACATTGGTATCTGCATATAAATCCACATTGCATTACTGCTCAGAATGCCAACATCAACATAATTCTATTCATTGTATTCGTACCATTCAAAATACACATCCAGGTTCTCATTCTTAATGCGATGTACCAACTCGATGTGGAGAAGTTTGGTGATGTTAAGACAACTCCAGACTCTCAATACAGCCAGCTCGTTATCAGCATCAAGCACATGTTGCAGGCTCTGTCCTGTGATTGTGTGGCAGTTGTCCAGTGTCAAATGGGAGAGCTTGGGCATAGGATTCACCTAAAATCAAAATATGCATATGTAACTTCATTATGCCACTGAGCAGATTCGCTCAAACCCTGTCTTCGTACTAGATCTTCCTATTTCCAGTTTCACATCCCATTTCTTGTTTCTACTACCTTAGAGAAAGTTTTAGCTTTCAACTTCCAGGGATTTCATCCGAAACTCTTAACTGTTCTACTCCAGTCATAATCGATAGTAGCATATTTAATGAACTGACATGAAGTTTCAATTAGTTTACCTCGTTTAATAAACCTGCGCACTGATAAATAGTGAATGTTGCCACAGGCCTTGCAAGGTTGAGACGCTATTATCGTAAAAATTTAGTGGGTCTGGACAGTTTCAAATATTGAAGTATTCAAGTATTGAACATTTTCTTATTATATAATATGTAACATATTTTGGACTCCTTCTGCATGTATTGCAAGTAAAAATAGACATGTTGATGGCTGCGTCTCTTTTGAAACATAAATTGCCGTAATCGACGTATTATCTAAATTAACACGGGACACTGAACTATTATGTGTTAATCTGTGCAAGACAAGCGAAGTTTTGTAACAAAGCAGTTTTAGAAAGGAGACCTGAAGATGGGAGAGAAATATAAATAACTAGTGCTGCAATGATTTTAGTGTTTTTCGCTAGAATTGGCAGAGAAGGTCTGCTGATTTGCGGCAAGAGATGATCTGTTCAGATGCATTGGCAGCTGAACTCACTTTTTGCACCTGTTCCTTGTGTGGATTTGTACAGCCAAGTTCACAAATTAATGTGCAGTATTCATGAGTACTTCATTCTTTGTGTGCAGATACATTTAGCACAACAATTCACATTCTCTAAATTCCAGCTTTGAACAACACTGCACCGGATGAATGAAGATGAATTTTGAATTATGTAGGATTTTAGTTTCTCACAGCGGTGAGTCTGAAGTTGGCCGTCTTCTGGGTTGTTGCGCCGTGTAGTCTGGTAGAAGTTTATAGACGTTTAAAAGGTCCTTGCTGCCTCCATTAACAGGGCGCCCTGATGATAGAGACAGCAAGGACCTTTTAAACTTCTACCAGACTACACGGCGCAACAACCCAGAAGATGGCCAACTTCAGAATTTTGAATTGTCTTTACAGAAATTTAAATAATTCTTATAAAACTTTGGTCTGTAGGCTTAATGAGGATTTTTATGTATGTCTTAAGTTGTTTTTTACGTCAAGCGTGCTGTGGTAGAAGGACATTAATACGTACCTCCCATATTTCTGCCATCAGTTTGTCCGATAGTACCTCGCATCCTTTGAACAGCATATTTGTCATGTTTTTGCTGAAAAGTAGAAGTTGCCGGATCATGTTGGGATTAAGATCAGCTTGAGGATCTGACCATATTTCAACAGCACGGAGCTGTTTGAACCAGTCGCTAGACAGTTGGCATACGGGTTCATATTGGGCTATGCTTGAGACGGCTAGGTTCTGCAGG